TCTCCCTTCACCCACTTTTCAGTTGTCTGTCCCCCAGGGAGGAGGTCACATATAGTTCCTTGTAATCGGTTCCCTCTTTACTACCCATTCTCCCTTTACCCTCCCTGTTTCGCCATCCACCCATCCACTGTACTTTAGCTGATTCTATAGCAATCCAATATGACAGAGTAAAGCTGCCCCATAGACTCTCCACGGTGTCTTTACGGATACACACTGTTCCATCTGTCTCTGGAAGAAAGTCTGGTTGTTTTAAATTGCTGGCCCTATGAGTTATTAGCCTTAACTTAACCACTATACCACCAGGGTTCCCTTTAAGTATAGTACTGTACTATTTTCTATCTGTACTTAAAGGCCTTCAAGTATCAAAGGACGAAGAGGCATTTCCAAAGGAAAGATTTATTTTATTCAAATAATGACAAAGGGAAACTATTACAATAAAAATTTCATTAAAAAGTCAGGCATTCTCTAGAACCAAAGAAATTATGAAAATCATCCTCCTTAGTGGATAGTTTTTTTAGGGTGAAGCAATTAATACTTATGAGCAATGGTTCTGAAATCCCTAGAGAGAGTTATCAAGAGACTAAAGGGTATAAGACATCACAGAATTATATGCAAACATTTGTAGGCAACAAAATCTTCATGTTTTTGAAGTAAGCATGTCTTTCATCAGCTTTCTAAAGGTGCCGAAAATTCTAAAAAACTTTAAAACCTTCACCTAGAGATAATCTCCATGCACTCTACTAACTTCTTTCTCAAAGTCTAAAAACCAAAATATATCATGGTCCTTCATTACGACTCTTTATGAGTAGCTTCTGGAACTGCTTATATAGAACCAAAACATCATGGATTCTGATTTCTTAATTTAGAGCAATGGTTCTCAACCTCCCTAATGCCGTGACCCTTTAATACAGTTGTGTTGTGGTGACCCTCCCAACCATAAAATTATTTTCATTGCTACTTCATAACTTTAATTTTGCTACTGTTATGAATCGGGTGACCTCTGTGAAAGGGTTGTTCGACCCCCAAAGGTGTCGTGACCCACAGGTTGACAACCGCTGAAATAGAATTTTAGGGTCATGATGTCATAAGACATCTCAATCAACCTAACAGAATGTTTAGTACTTCTATTCTACCTCCTAGCTTAATGTATCATGCTCCTGGTATCTTCAAAGGTTTCAAACAGCCATTCAAAGCACAACAATTAGTCTCTATTTGATTAGATAAGAGAGAGAGGAGGGGAATAAGAAATAAGATGAGGATAAAGAATGCATGGCTAACTGCCTTCTTGAACAACTTCTCCTTTGCAAGAGGCCAGAAGAACTGGATGTTCTTGCCAAGTACTTTGATCTAAGAATCCATAGAAGAATCCTGACTGCAAGCAGAACAACACAGAATGTCAAATTCTCAGAGTCTAGACTTTCTGAAGCCATGGAAAACAAACCTCTGAAACTATTTTCCTGAGGTAATCTTTTAACCTCAAACAAAAAAAAAATATGCTCTAACGTCTTAGTATTTTTACAAAATCCCTTTTTTATTTTTCAGAAGAAAAAAACTTAATCCAACACTTATCACTAAATTTAGGTATTAATAGATTATCTTTTTAATCAATGATTTTATATGTGGTTCAATAAACTATTATTGATTTAATGGGCAAGGATAATCATATCAGGAAAAAAGTTAACTTTACAAATTATACCATATACCTAAATTATCCCTTTAGAAATAAACTTACCTATCAAAAGGTAATTCCTGGGCAATTAAGTGCAACTTCTGAATGATGTCTGCTGCCTCCTTTATCTATTAAAAAAATACATTAAAACAATACATTTTTAAATACCAACATTTATGCATGTCAAAAAACTATCATATACTTATATACGAGCTGTACCCCCCAAAACCAGAATTTTTCTTTTCAAAGCTATGTATTTAAATTTTTTTAACAAAGCAAACCTATCACCTTCAAAGTACTCTCCATTACACTTAATACATTTCTCAAATCTGTGATTCCATTCCTGGAAATGTTCAAACTCATGTTTGGTTGGCTGACAGAACCTCCCTCATTTTTTTTTCTTCACCTCTTCTACATTGTCAAATTGCTGTCCTTACTTGTCCCTTTGCATTTGCAGAAACAAAAAAGAAGTTGCTCAGAGCAAGATCAGGTGAGTAAGGTGCATGGGACAAGAGAGGAATTCTGTTTTTTGCCAAAAACTGGTGCACTGAGATGGCTGCACGAGCAGGTGCATTGTCATGGTGGCAAATCAGGCCTTTTTTGTTGCTCAGTCTTATACAATCTCTTCAGAATCTCTAAATAGTAAGTTTGATTAACAGCCCGACCTTGTGGAACAAACTAAATGCATTACGAGTCAACATTTTCAATCACTCAGGAAGTGGATGGATGTCCAGAATTAGGTTTATTATCAATCGACATTTCACCCTTTTTTGAAATGAGAAAACCACTCCACTCATACACTTGAGTTTTTCCAATAGTGCTGTCCTAGTAAGCTGTGTTCAACATCACAACAGTTTCTACAGCATTCTCCCCCTCACCCAACCCGAACAGAAAACAAAATTTCACAGCCGCATGAGATTCACGTGAAACTGCTGTTACGAAAAAAATTCATTATGACCAGAGAGAACCTTCCCAGGTGACACTAGTAGGTATACTATCTCAGAGCGAGTTGTTCAATGCTTGCCTAGTTGGGGGTGGGGAGGGGTAGGGTAGGGTACCACGAAAGCTCCGTTTCCACTTAGCGCAATTCTGTTTTTTGGGGGGTACCCCCTTTTGTACATGTACACACAAGCGTGTGTGTGTGTGTGTGTGTAACTTACCATCATTGAATCAATTCTAACTCGCAGATATCCTTTAAGGCAGGACAGAAGTGCCTGTGGGTTTCTGAGACTATAACGCTTTATGGGAGAAGAAAGCCGTTTCTTTCTCCCTTGGAGTGGCTGGTGGTTTCAAACTGCTGACCTTGTGATTAGCAACCCAACACATAACCACAATGCTATCAGAGCTCCTTGTATATATATATATATATATACACAAGGATATGTATGTATATATATATATACATACAAGGTAACTTTAAATTTTTATTGGAAAATGGAATTAAGATGCAGAAGTTTTCATAAATTTTGAAACTCAGTTATAACTGAAAATGTAATATGATCCTGTGTATCCCCACATCCCTCCTCTCTCACAATTTAAAAAATATACAACAAAACAAAAACTGTCAATTACAGGAATACATCTGGAGTATTATCAATCATGAGTAAACCAATCATTTCTCCTTCTGGTACTGAGATTTAGATTTTATAATACCATAATCCCCTCCCAAATGAAATGTGCCTGAAATTCAAGTTTACTGTGAATGAAATAAAATTATTGCATGATAAATGCAAAAATATATGTCTATTAAAATGTCTACTATAAGTTTATAAACGCAAAAGGATAAACAAGGAATTTGGAAATGGTTTAGCTTATACTGCTGCAAGTGGTAAAGAAAACATTAAAAATCCTTTTTATTTAATGAACATATAAACTTATAACACATATTCTGGAAGTATAAATTTAAGAAACTGCAGTAACACCAAGAGCTACAGTACAAACACTTGCAATTACTAGTACAATTACTTGAAAATTATTTAAATGTTTACAGAAAAAAGGAGAGAACATAATTTCATGACATAAACCATCATGGACAAGGCAGATCAAGTTAAAAATAAGTTCTAGCCAGTCAATTTCTAATTTTTCTCTGGATGTTAAATGATTACCTTGAGCTATACCTAAAGAGACAAATGACACTGTCTATAATTGCTACATTTTGCTTATATTAGAACATAAATACATTGTACAATCTAAAAGATATAAGATTTTAATTATAAAGAACATTTTCATAATATGTACACTGTAAACACTTTCTTAAAACACCTTGGAATATACTTATATTTAGAAAATATAAACAAAAATCCATCACCCCTTAAGCTATCTGAGTCCAGACTCAAGCCTTGTATATACATTTACATACAAAATCAGATAAATACAAAGCTAGATGCTACCAGCTTTTCACAAGTTTAATTCAAGTATTCTATCTGTGATAGGTTTGATGTCAACTTGACTCCAACTCAATGCCTAATCAGGTCATAATCTTGGTGTTCCTTTTTCATGAGAGACTGTGGGAGTTAGGATTAGGTAAACTCCTGGCTACAAGTGCAGTCAAACCTGTCAGTCAAGTGATAGCTTGATGACACCTCCTTTGGGGTAACCTTTTGAATGATAGCGAGGGGCTCTGGAAAGTGCCTTTTTTTCTGTCCCTTGTCTTCCTGCTTGCTGGAACTCTGCCTGCTTTGAGAGGTGGACCCATGTGGCCTTCTCAGCACTGAGGGCTGCCTGAGCCCTACTGTTTCTTTCTTTTTTAAAAAAAAATCATTTAATTAGGGACTCATACAACTCTTATCACAACCCATACATACATCAATTGTGTAAAGCGCAATTGTACATTCAGTGCCCTCATCATTCTCAAAACATTTCCTCTCCACTTAAGCCCCCGGCATTAGGTCCTCATTTTTCCCCTCCCTCCCCGCTCCCCTCCTCCCTCATGAGCCCTTGATAATGTATAAATTATTATTTTGTCATATCTTGCCCTGCCTGACGTCTCCCTTCACCCAGCCTACTGTTTCTACAGACTTTGGATCCACACCACTCTGCATCCACAGGCCTGGGATCTTCCTAGTTCATCATCTGAGTTACTGGCATGTAACTTAAATCGGACTGGGCTGACTTCTTGATATACAATTGCTTCTTGACACACAGCTCTTACATATATTATTAGTGTCTGGATTTGTTTTTCTAGCCAAACCAACCTAACACAGACACTGAGAAGTCCTCTCTTGCTTGCCTCCCCCTTTTGCCTTCCTGCTTGCCTGGATTGTGTGTCTGGCTCTGGGGTTGGAAGTCCACGTGGCCTGCTGACCCGGGAGCTCTGATACCCTACTGCTGACCTTGGATCCATGGACGTGCATTGGATTGAGCTGGGAAGATTTCTTGATATAAAGTGGTTTCCTGATACATGAGTGCTATTGGTTTTATTTCTCTAGAAAATTCAGCCTAACAATATCCTTCTGGATATTAATCTGTTTATTTTATACCACAAATATATCTTCTGAAGCTCATTCTTTAAAATACTGTTTTTCCTCAGATATTCAATACAGTTAACTTTAAGATTTTATTTAACACATTACTGGACAATATTATCATGTGCATCTACTATCTCTTTTTCCCCCCCCATGCATTTTGTTATCTTTTTTTGCCCAGAGAAGAATTATATAGCAGCCATTTATCTCTAGACCAGGATTAAGTGATAGTACTATAAATGGGAGTAATAACCAATTTATTTTCAATTCTTCTTGGTCTAAACTATGCTTTTTAGTTCTTTTTGACGGATACTTCAAACATTTTTTTAAAAGAAAGAGGTCATAATTCTTGACGGAAAGACATTTTAGCTTAACGATTTAAGTCAGACCCAATAGAATATAACTATTCAAAAACTATAAAAATTCTGTTAATATTAGAAGTTGATGATGGAAAAGAAATACCTATAAACATATTTACTTTATTATTGTAAGCTGCATATTATTTCACAAATAAAAAATAAAATGTTAGTCAGCCCAATAATTCATTAGAAATCTAGCAGCAAGTACATTAATTTACATGTCAGGGTAAAACCTTTAAATAAGTCAATTCTTTGGTGATTTTAAGTCTGACTCTGGAAAACAGTAATTGTAGTTCATAATCAGGATGTTGTTAGGATAGTATGATTTACTTTGATCTTTGTGACAGTGTTTGCACTTACCTTTTCGGAATTTGTAAAAACATCAGACTTCAATTCTCCATCTAGAAACTCATTAAAGTATTTCATCAGTTTCTGAGCCTCCACTGCCCGTTGTCTGGGTGTATTTACCCCCTCCAGTTGGTCTCCCAGGTGACAGACCTTGGTTGCTACGTAACTGATGTGCTCATCCAGTTCTTGAAAATGTTGGAAGGCAACCTAGGAAAATTGTGCACAAACATAAAACTATCAGAAAATCCAGTAGTTCGGGTAATACATATGAAAACTGAACAATCAATCTCATTGATCTTCTCTAACTTATGTAACTAAGGAAAATATATAAATTTATACACGAGTTGTTATACACAAATCAATTAATTTCCTTAGCACATGATTTGAAAACTTTTATACTATACTGCAAACTTTTACATCTTTTAACTCTTAAGACAATTATTTTATTATGAATAAATTTGTTAAGAAATAAAACAGTAAAGCTAACACTTACATCCTCTTTATTAGCATAGTACTCAATATTTTGCGCTAAATGATGATTCTGAAAACAGTAAAGGAATTATGAAAGGGAACACACACCTGGCAAATTTTCTTGCTAACAGGAATTTAAATTTTTTTTTAACTACCAGAAGCAAAAATTAAAACTTATTAAAGACTGTTTAATAAATATTTATTGTAGCTATTTAAGTATAGCTAGTATAACATTTAAAATAAAATTGCATTATCCCACATTTGAAAGCAGAAAAGATTGCAGCATTTTTTCTACCTAAGAATGGATATATTTATTTTTAGAATATTCTTACTCTTCTTCTAGGGTACACTGATTGTCATACGTTAGTTAAAAATTATGTGTAATAAGTACCCAAGAAGAGCTAATTAAAAATTGCTGATAATTCATTATGGTACTTTGTTCTAACCTTAAATTGGGAGATATGGGGAGTAAAGCGGTTGTCTTATTTTGAGTACTTCCCTTGTACTGAACAAGGATATTATATATATTCACTTATTTCATTCTCACAACAATTGATTTAACAGATGAAAAACAGTAAAACACAAAGATACTAAATAATTGAGATTCCATAGCTAATAAGTGGCTGAGGTGCAACAGTAAACTCAGGCAGATAGGACCCAGCATGTGTTAGCCTACCTAACACTATTATTACTAAGAGAAAACTGTATTAGAAGCATCTGGAAGCTATCAATTTTTTAAAAATCATTTTCTTAGGGGCTCATACAACTCTTACCACAATACATACATATATCAATTGTGTAAAGGCACATTTGTACATTTATTGCCCTCATCATTCTCAAAACATATGCTCTCCACTTAAGCCCCTGGCATCAGCTCATTTTTCCCCCTCCGTCCCCACTCCCCCCTCCCTCATGAACCCTTGATAATGTATAAATTATTATTTTGTCATATCTTGCCCTGTCCGACATCTCCCCACCCACTTTTCTGCTCTGTCCCCCAGGGAGGAGGTTATATGTAGATCCTTGTAATTGGTTCCCCCTTTCTACCCCACCCTCCTGGTATCGCCACTCTCACCACTGGTCCTGAAGGGATCATCCACCCTGGATTCCCTGTGTTTCCAGTTCCTATGTGTACCAGTGTACATCCTCTGGTCTAGCCAGATTTGTAAGGTAGAATTGGGATCATGATGGGTTGGGGGGGGGTAGCATTTAGGAACTAGAGGAAAGCTGTATGTTGGAAACTATCATTTTACCTGCTTAAAAACACATTTTATTGAATTAATGTCTCCATTATTAAATATTTTTCATATTTCAAAATGTTTGTGGAAAAATTTCATTTTTTTTTCATTTTGCCCACAAACTTTGTGAAGTCCTCCGTATGCTTTAGTGAAGAAAACCAAATAAACGTTTAACAGAAATCAGCTTGCTAATCAATCTTTTACACTAAACACGTGGCTGAGAGGCAGCAGAGCTAAATAATGCTCATCAACCTAAACATAGAAAGGGCAGTCAAGCTTCATTCGGATCAGGCCCAGGATATACATTAAAGTGTTCAGAGGTTCCAGAAGGAGCTCTGCCAAGTTAACCACTAGGAGTCGTTGTTAGGTGCCATGGAGTCGGTGCCTACCGCCAGCGACCCTACGCACAGCAAAACAAAACACTGCCCCGTTCCCGACCATCCTTACAATTTTTCAAAAGCTTGAGCTCAGTTACAGCCACTGTGTCAATCTATCTTGTTGAGGGCCTTCCTCTTTTTCTTTGTCCCTCGACTTTCCCAAGCATAATGTCCTCCTCCAGGAATTGGTTTCTCCTGACAACATGTCTGTGGCAGTTACATAATTTCATGTCAAACTGATAAATAAGTGTAGGGGTGGAGTCTAGCCTGTCAATCAAGCCACAACCTGATGATGCCTCCTTGTGGGCGTGGCTTTCTCATGAGGATTCTTGAACTTCCTCTCTCCCTAGAAGCGGACCACACGCTCTCCTCTGCCTTCGTCTTCCTGTTGGCAAGCCTCAGGGAGACCTGAGCGAGTCATGTGGTAGAGACCTGCACCAGCCCTGTGATGCTTCCACCACCATTGGATCCAAAAGACTTTTCACCCACCGACCTGTGATCTTCCTGTGTTCTGCATCATTGCATGTGGCCGCGTGAGTCTGAAGAGAGATTCATGAACTAGTATCAGACTTATGGGCTAAGATTACATTTACGGCCTTGATCTGGAGAGGGCTGGGATGTTTCCTCGATATACAATTACTCTTTGATATAAAGCTCTTTCATATACATGAGTGTCCCTAGATTTGTTTCTCTAATCAATCCAGACTAAAACAATGTCCAAAGTACTTAAGACAAAGCCTTGTCATCCTTGCCTTTAAGGAGCATACTGGCTATATTTCTTCCATGACAGAATTGTTTGTTCTTTTAGCAGTCTATAGTACTTTCAATACTCTTTGCCAGTATTTTAATCCAAACAAATTGATTCTTCTTCAGTTTTCCTTATTTCATGTCTAACTTTCATATGGATAGGAGGCAACTGAAATTACTAAGGCTTGGGTCAAGCATACCTTAGTCTTCAAAGTAACTTCCGATTATCAAAAGTCTAAAGAGGTTTTATGAAGCAGATTTACCCAATGCAACTTGTCTTTTGAGCTCTTGATTTGCTGCTTTCACAAGCATGGATTGTGGATTCAAGCAAGACAAAATCCTTGACAATTTCAATCTTTTCTCAATGTATCATGATTTTACCCTGTATATCCAGTTGTAAGAATTTTGGTCTTTACTTTGAGTTGTAATCCATGCAGAAGGCTGCAATCCTTGACCTTCATCAAATTATTCAAGTCTTCACTTTGAGCAAACAAGGTTGTGTTATCTGCATCCTGCAGCTTGTTGATGGGCCTTTCGAGAAACCTGGTGCTGCAGTCTTCTTCATATAATCCAGCTTCTGATTACTTGCTCAGCATATATTTCAGTAAGTACTTATGCTGAGCAAACATGTGGCACACTTTTCCTGATTATAAACCAAGCAGTATTCCCTTGTGTTCACACAACTGCCTTTAGATCCATGTAAAAGTTCCAAATGAGCTCAATGAAGTGTTCTGGAATTCCCATTCTTCTTAAGGCTATTAATAGTTTGTTCATTGGATCACATTTCTTTGGAATGGGTACAATATTTATCTCTTTCAGTCAGTTGGCTAAGTAGCTGTCTTCTAGATGTCCTAGCATAAACCAGTAAGTGCTTCCTAAGTTTGTTGAAACATTTCAATTGGTATTTCTTCAATTCCTGAAACCTTGTTTTTGGCTAATGATTTCAGTGTAGCTTGGACTTCTGCCTTTGATATTAGTGGTTCTTGCGTATAAGTCACCACCTGAAATGGTAGAGTGGAGACCAGTACATTTTGGTACACTGTCTCTGTGTATTATTTCCATCTTCTTTTGTTGCTTCCTGCATCCTTCGGTATTTTGCACAAAGAATCTTTCAATATTGCAACTTAAGGCTTGCATTTTTTTCTTGAGTTCTTTCCATTTCAGATATGCTGGGCATGCTCTTCCGTTTTGGTTTACTACCTCTAGGATTGTGTACATTTCCTTATAATATTTTAGTTTGTCTTTTCAAGCTGTCCTTTAAAATTTTTCTGTTCAGCTCTTTGACATCATCATGTATTTTTTCCATCTACCTTAGCTAATAAAAAATTAAATCTCCAGACATTTACTTTCATCTTTTCTTTTTCTTTGCTCTCTTTTTAATAACCTTTGGTTTCTTCATCAATGTCATCTCACAGCTCATCAGGTCTCTGTCATGTGTTCAATGCAGCAAATTTATTTGAGATGTTGTTGAAAGTCAAGTGGGATAGACTTAAGGGCATATTTTATCTCTGTAGACTTGTTTTAATTTTCTTCAGCTTTAACCTGAACTGACTTATGAGCAATTGATGGTCTGTTCCACAGTTAGCCATGGTCTAGTTTCATCTGCTCAAACTGAGCTTCTCCTTTGACTCTTCCAATAGATAATCCATTTGATTTCAGTGTATTCATCTGGAGAAGTCCATATGTATAGTTGCCATTTGTGTTTTGTAAAGTATTTGCTATGAAAAATTTGTCTTCCAAAATTCTATCATGTGATCTCCTTCTATCACCAAGACCATGTTTTCTAACTATGGTTCCTTCCCCTTTGTTTCCAACTTTTGCATTCCAATTGCCAATTACGAATACATCTTAGTTGTGTGTCTGATAAATTTCTGACTGAGGATGTTGGTACAATTCTTCAATTTCAAAAAAAAAAAAAACAATTCTTCAATTTCTTCACCACTAGAGCTTTCTTGGTTGGTACATAAACGAGTAAAAATTGTGATTGGATTTCCTTGAAAGCAGATAGATATAATGCTATCAGAGACAGCATCATACTTTAAGATAAACCCAGCATAAATATGATTTTCTCATTCAAAATGGCCAATACCAGTTCATTCCAACTCACTAATGCCTAGGATATCAATTTTTATATGCTCCACTTAATTTTTAACAACTTGTAATTTTCCTACATTCATACTTCACACATTCCAAGTTACAATTATTAGATTTTTTTTGGTAGCCAGTTTTTTTTTTTCTTGTCTCATTTTGAGTTGTGCCCCATCAGCAAATGAAGATCCCGAAGACTTTACTCCCACAGACTTTAGTCCATTCATGTCACCATGGTTGATTCTACTTTGTAAAGGCAACTCCTCCTCAGTCGTATTTCAAGAACCTTCAAACTCAGGCAACCCATCCTTTGGCATTAACTCTGACAATGTTATGCTTCCATTTATTAGTCCTTCAGTATCTGACAATGTTTCGAAGCTATGCATAAGGTTTTCAGCAGCTATTTCCTTCAAAATGGACAGCCAATTCCTTCTTTGTAGTCCATTCAGTGGCGCCTCACTGCGCCACTGAAACCTATTCATCTTGGGTGACCCTGCTAGCATTTGAAATACCAGTGACATGGTTTACAATATCACAGCAACACACAGTCAACCACAGTAGGGCAACCTGATAGACAAGTGGTGGCCAGGAGTCCTTAGGTGGTATAAATTGTTAATGCAGCTAACTGAAAAGTTGGAGGTTTGAGTCCACCCAGAGATGCTTTTTAAGAAAGACTTGGTGATCTGCTTCTAAAACATCAGCCACTGGAAATTCAATGGAGCACAATTCGATTCTGACACACTGGGGTTCACACTGGGACTTAGCACCCTGGACAGTAGAGTGGTTTGGCTTTACTCAATATAGTATAAAGAGCTCTGCCTCTGCTTTTCCCATGGGATTCCATACTACATGGTTCGATGAATTGTCAAAGATCAGAATACTTCTTGGGAAAAACAATCCAGGAAACAGTTTGTCTGGTACTACTTTATGATTAAAAGAGAATGCACATGCATATTTAAATATCCAAGCTAATAAAGAACTCCTCAAAATAGAAGTCTGCTGAAGTGTCGTTCTTGAAAGTTTGAGTTGTGGAAAAGAAAGGATCACATAGAACTAGATAATACCCATACACAGAAAATACTGTCTGACATTTCCAGAATGTCTGTAATGGGTTAATTAGGAATCACTCTTTAACACTGTATCCCATGTAGGAAAGAGGTGCACAAGCCTCAACAGTTGCTATGATTTAACTACATTTTTTTTAAACTTAAAAAACTGAAAGGAAACATGGTATATAACCTATACAAACTTAAAGGATCTCTGGTGGCACACATGTTAAATGCTAGGCTGCTCACCATAATGTTGCTAATTCAAACCCACCACTCCATTGGAGAAAGATAAGACAGTTTGCTCAGAGACCATGGCTTTAGAATACGTTTGGGAAGCTCTATCAGCCCTCTCACTGCTATCAAGTCAATGCTGACTCATAGTGACCCCGTGTGTTTCCAAAACTTTAACTGTTTATGAGGTAGAAAACCAAGTCTTTCTCTCTCGGGGCTGCTGGTGGTTTCAAACTGCTGACCATATGGATTGCAGTCCAATATGTACACTACCAGGGCTCCCTTCTGTCAGTCCTACAGGGTCATTAAGAGTTGATATCCATTTGATTGAATTGTTGGTTTATTTTGTTTTCTGTACAAACTATAGCGTAACAAACTGTTAACCATTTGATTACTACCCAAAATGTTGGCAATTTGGGTCAACCAAGGGGTAACTTGAAAGACAGGTGTGGTAATCTACTTCTAAAAAGTCAGTCTTGAAACCCCTCTGGCGCAGACCTACTCAATCAACATGAGCCACCAAGATTGTGGTTTGACAGCTTCTACACTTAATGTAGTAGATTTTGAATTGATGGATAACTTAAAGGGTTACTTTTGTTTTAAGCAATTAACCTAAAGGGCTACTTACGCAATTTTACAAAATAACTAGCTGGGGAAATTCAATAAAAAACATTGCTATTTACTACTTCTTACTGCTTTAAGCAAAGTTTGCGAAAGCACATGATGAGAACTTCCATATCTTATACTAGCAGCAACAATACAGAATAGCTGAAATTTACCTGATTGCTTTTCTGGAGTTCTTGAACCTTCTTGGCAAATTCCTTGGCTTCTTTCTGACATTGCTGTTCTAGTTTTTCTACTTTTCTTTGGATCCTTTCATCCATTGTTTGAAGTTCTTGAATATGATTTACAAATTCTTCTAATAATCTAGTAGAGGAAAGATCTAACATGTATCAATTTATCTCTGATCAATCATTAACAACTGATTTAAGAAACCTAAATAGAAAAAGCCTTAAAAGGAGTTCTCGAAGCCAGAGATGATCATGTTAATCTCTACAGCATCATTAGGAGTTTCTTCAGTCGGAATGTGGTCTTGATCATGACCTCACAGAATTGTCCAGAATCGCTTTAAAACAAACATGACTTTTAAAACATAGCCAGTCTCAGCTATTGACTTATTAGTGGATTAGCTATAAAATGAATGACAACCTCACCCAGAATTCCCACTAACTCCCAAAATGGAAACCAATTTTATGACTGTTCTATTTGAAACTGTCAGGTAAATGTACTATGTTAAAACTACATTCTAGGGTACAGTGACTTTCTGTTCACCTGATTTACAAATATACTTAAAACAAAATATTAAACATTTGCTAATTCCTAGCCATGGCCAACTAATTATTGATCTTATTTTTAAATTTATTATTAAAAGTAATTAAAATGTTATTTACTGCTAATTTACTACTAATAATTTACAAATTTAAAAAATTAATTAAATCTTATAGTCAGTAATATCTCTTCCTCATACCAGTTAAAATGCTACTCTAAATAAAAGGAATGTAAAAGGGAAAACACAATCCTAAATTTCTAATGCTGAATTTAAAACACTGGGTTCTTTACATTTTGAAATTGAATCCCAATAATCACCTGAATTATAAACATAAATTTGTACTCAAATCTATGAAAAACATCACCTCCATGCATGCTTTTACTTCACCTTTTAGGATCAAAAGCTTCAGCTCCCCCTCTAGAGCCTCCTCCTGGGGTTCTCCATACAAGACGTTCAATATACTCATCTGCCACAAAAGGCTCCTAGTTCATGGAATAAAAAGTTTTTAAAAGTTTCAGGGAACATAATGTAATATGAAGGGCTTCAAAAAATCTATAGAATTCCATTAAATTTTAATTGCATTTGAAGCCCCCTTCTAAAGTAATTAATTCTTTACAAAAATACAAGAGTTCTAGTATGTGAGAACTTAAAATGAAATCAAATTATTAATTAAATCTTCAGTAAACAAAACAAATTACTTATTAAAATTAGCATATTAGAAAATAGTAATGACCAGTTAGAATTCTGTCCCTCTCATCATACTGGAAAATTTGAGAGAATGTTAACCAGACTGATAAACGGAGGGATGACAGAATAGATTTCAATCATATAGCACATCGGAGAATATCAACAGTAATGTTATCATTATATAAGCAATCGAAAGCATTATCTCAATTAACTCTATCAATAAGACCTGAGAGGAAAGTACTGTATATGGGGAAATATTAACTCAAAATAACGTTTGTTTAGAACTAAACTAACATTAGAAAACCTGATCAGTACATGAAGTCCTTCTAAATAATGGTAATGTTGAGACAGCTACATTTTTAAAGTGATTACTATATGAAGACATGTACCTAGCACTATGCATTTACTCCTTACATGCCTACTTGACAGGCTATGTAAATCCAATAAGTCCATATACATCTGGTCTATGAAGTCATGTGGCACAATAAGTTATTTAATGTTAAGATCACATAGTAAGTGACAGATTCACTTGATTTCTTAGTTTCAAATTTTAACTACTGGTAAAAACAACACAATTTTTTTCTGGCAAAAGAGACTATTATTTTTTCTAACAGTATTATTGGCACATAATTCACATATCACATAAGTGAATAGTCAATCATTCGATCAAGGAAAGTATACAATCACCATATCTATCTTACAGCATTCCCTCACCCCAAGGTTGAATCACCTTTAAAATGAGTTATGCAATTATGATCAGTTTTAGTGCTCCCTCCCCGCTCCCCCTTTCATTATTTACTCCCGAAATCCCCTTTCCTGCACTTCTGCATTCCCTATTACACTTTGTATCAGTTATTACCATTATACATCCACTTCTCCTCCTGTGTTTCACAGTTGGGAAACCCCACAGACAACAATGAACAACCGATCACACTAAGCTGATAAGGATAAGATAGATTTTATTGGTATAAAGATAAAAACATATATAATGCGTGAGTGGGAGAAGACCCCCATCAACATTCAAATAGCCAGGGAAAAAGTTTGTCATGAAACAACTATGAACTACTTGCCCCCAGTACAAATTTAGGTAAGTTTATAGGGAGGTTGAATGGCCAAGTATTGAGTTTGAACCAGTATAATCAAGTTTACAATGGTCTGCCTGAGAGTAGGGCTGTTCGGGACTCTAGCCTTTGACTTTAGCAGACTATAGCATAACTGTACAATTGGTTCCCTAATGAGTCTCCAAACATACTTTTCCTTCCTGGCCTTCTTAATGTCATTCCCTTCTTACCTCCTCCACCTATCTATATCACCCCTCCCCCACCTTCATGTTGTGTTTTCTTTCCCTATAGGCCCCACATCCCTTGGTTTCATTTACCGAAGAACAGTGATATTATAATTCTGCTTCAAGAGGGTGACCTCCCGCCAAGGCATGCCACCTGAGAAACACCCCAATATACACAAACATAAGCAAATATAACAGAATGGCCATCACAGGATTGCCAGCATAGTACTTCTCTTAATGCAGTCTACAGGGCATTGTAGCAAGATCTTGTTTGTCCACCAACCAACAGTATGCCACTCTTGGTACAGCTTCTTCAGACACCATGGGTTTTCTGGCTTAAGTCCTACAGCTACAAGTGTGTCTGAGGTAGAGTGCACTGCACCCAGTGGGGTTCCGGTATGGAGTCTCAGTGATGCAGCTTCTGGATCATGCCGTGTGCTGAAAATGCAGAATTCGCTGTCCCAGAGTTCTATGGCACCCAGCTTGGGTTTCTGAGATACCCCCAGATGCCCTAGGCCAGTTCTACCCACCAGATGCATGCCACTAAAAACCCTCCCCACCGACTTTTCCCAAGAGCATTCTCAGTCCCTCCTCCCTGTACCTGGAGGTCAGCTTTCCCTTCCCTCCCCTCCTCTCAACAGACATGTCTTTCTACCCCCCCGCCCCCCCCCAAAACGTGACCATTCCTCTCCCTACTTCCACACTGTCCCTTCCATCAGTAAATTTCATCCCTCTGACAGGGTTGCCTCCCTCTCCAGGGGACCTCAGCCCAGATCCACATGGCTACCACTCAGCAGACGGCATCCTCCTATTCCGCCATCCATTTGATCCCAGCTGTCATGAGGTATCCTCCAGCCAAGTGACCTGCACTATACTTACCTGGAGCAGATGGTATAGGGGTTCATTGGCACTGGCCCTCCTCTCTACCAGGCAGTCAAGACTAAATTATTTTAGGTAATAGTTGCTTTTGTTAAATTTCATCAAGTCAGTTCTAACTCAAAGTGATCCCATGTAAAACAGAACAAAACACTGCCCGACTGTCCTGCATCTTCCTCACAATTGCTTCTATATTTGAGCCCACAGCTGCAGCCGCTGTGTCGATCCATCTCATTAAGAGTCTTCCTCTTTTTCACTGACCATCTACCAAGTTTAATGTGTTTTTTTCTCTCTAGGTACTGGTGTCCCCTAACAGCATGTTGAAAGTATGTCAGACAACGCCTTGCCATCTTTGATTCTGACTATTCTAAATGATCAGTAAATAAGGCAGGGAAAATAACATCTCTGTTTCTATGGATCTGGAGAGAGCAATAGACGAACTAACTGGTAACAGGTAAAAAGTACCATGAAGAAAACTACAGAGAATATTAAATGTTAGCTAAGAGAATAATTAATAAGTACAGCCAAGTAAAGCTAGACATATTAGGTAGCTGAATCAACTCCCACATTAGAATCTTGGCCTATAAAGTAGAAACTATTAAAATAGGAAAGCCAACCCAGCAATCTGGGCACATATGCAGAAGAAGCAACGAACAAACCACAGCCAGACATCTGTGCTCATCACAGCACAGGTCACAATCTCAAGGAGCTGGAAACAACACAGATTTCCACCAACACAAAACAGATTAAAAACTGTAGTACATACATACAACGGAGTACTACACATGCCTAAAAAAGCAGTGATGAATGCATGAAGCACATTGCTGCGTGGGAAAAATTGGAAGAAATTATGCTAAGCAAAGTAATCCAAGCATAAAAGGGCAAGTACAACATGAGTCCCGTGAGGTAAGCTTAAAAATGCAAAAGGGGCATAAGAGAAAGCTGCTGAATACACACATTCCTGGGGTGAGGTCCTGGTAATATGGCGGGGGCCAGACCCAATCCAGGGATACATATGGCAGCCAATTAAAAAGGAGGTGAAAAAACAAAACAAAACACATGGGTAGCAGGGGGAACAGGGCACTAACGCACCCAAGGGAGGGTATTGCTTATATCTCCACAGGAGAAGGAAAAAAGGACCAGGCTTCAACCCAGTGTGCAAGATGTGAATGCAACATACAGACATGAAGCAGGGAACCAACAGAGAGGTCTGTAGGGCCGGCCCCAATCCCAACTATGTGGACGCATCCTCCCTCCCCACCAAGAATGCACTTCAGAGGACAGCACTGAAGCTACTGCTTAGGGAGAAGGGTGCATCTGTTCAGAGCACACGGGCAAACAAAGAGGGAAGGAGGGAGAGTGGAACACATTGTGGCCCACCAAGCTCAGAGGATGATATTCCTGCTCAGAGCAGCCAATGCACAGAGAGGACCATAGGGCCGACCCCACCAGGAGACACGACGTCCCTTACTGACCCATAGCACTATGGGGACAACATTGGAGGCACAGTGCAGGAATTGTACCCCATCTGATCGCTCCACACTGGGGTGAAACACTAAGGGCGTGCAACAGAATGGCAAGGGGATCAAAGCAATGAAGTCCCTGGGGAATACAAAAAATAAGACTTTGGGGTTAGGGTATGGCACCCCATCAGACTTGATCAGAAAACACTCCTAAAGGTCAACAAACAGACCTGGAACTATTAACAACCTTTTCTTTTCTGTTGTTTTTTGTTTTCTTTTGTTGCTTTGTTTTGCTCTGTCTTGTTTTTGTGCTTATTACTGTCTCTGCATGTCTATCTAGATAAGATAGGTGAGATAAACAATCCAGAGGAGAAAATAATGGGACCAACAATTCAGGAGCAACATAAGAGAGGAGGTGGTAGGGGAAAGGAAGGGGAACATTCCCAGGGACAAGGGAACAAAAAGTGATCTAAAATCAATGGCAAGGAGGGTATATATAGGATGTCATGTGGGGCTTGATCAAGGGCACTGTAACCGACAGGACTTACTGAACCCCGAATGAAGGTTAGACATGAAAGTGGGACAAGAGGAAGATAAAAGCAGAGAAAAGAACTAGGAGACAAAGGGCATTTACAGAGGTCTAAATACAGGCACATACATATGTAGAGACATTTATATATAATAATAGGGAAATAGAGCTATGAACATATAGTTATTTGTTAAGTATTAAGGTAGCAGAGGGACACTGGGCCTCTACTCAAGCACTCCCTTAACGCAAGAACACTTTGTTCTAATTATCTGGTATTCTGTGATGCTCACCTTTCTGACAAGATCACTGAAGACAAAATGGGTGCATAAGCAAATGTAGTGAAGACAGCTCATGGTGCCCGGCTAATAAAAGATATAACATTTAGGATCTTAATGCTTAAAGATAAACAAGCAGCCATCTAGCTGGGATGCAACAAAGCTCAGCTGGAAGAAGCACACCAGCCTGTGTGATCATGAGGTGTAATGGGATCAAGTATCAGACATCAAAGACCCAGAACAAAAAATCGTATCATTGTGAATGAGGGGGAGTGTAGAATGGAGACCCAAAGCCCATCAATAAGACAACTGGACATCCCCTTACAGAAGGGTCACAAGAAAGAGACAAGCCAGTCAGGGTGCAGTATGGCACTGATGAAGCATACAACTTTCCTCTAGTTCTTTAATGCTTCCTACCCCCACGATCATGACCCCAATTCTACCTTACAAATCTGGCTAGATCAGAGCATGTACATGGGTACAGATAAGAGCTGGAAACACAGGGAGTCCAGGACAGATAAACCCCTAAAGAGCAATAATGATACCAGGAGGGGAAGAGGAAGGGAGGGTTGAAAGGGGGAACTGATAAAAGAATCTACATATAACCCCTCTTAGGGGGACAGACAACAGAAAAGTGGGTGAAGGGAGACATTGGTCAGTGTAAGACATGGAAAAAAAATTTTTTTTAATTATCAAGGGTTCATGAGGGAGGGAGTATTGGGGAGGGGAAAAATGAGCTGATACTAAGGCCTCCAGTAGAAAGAAAATGTTTTTAAAATGATGATGGCAACATATGTACAAATGTGCTTGACACAATGGATGTTTTTGTATGGATTGTGATAAGAGCAGTTTGCTCCCCCGATAAAATGAATTATAAAAACACACCTCAAAATAAAGAGTTTGCAGAGAGATCCCCCCCAAAAAAGGCAGAAAGCCAAAATGTTAAGACTCTAATTCACATCCTACCCAAATCCCACCCAATCCAAAGCAGTAAACCAAGTTGGATAGCAAAATTTAGTTGTACCCTTTAGGATCTAAAGCAAAGATCAGCAGACGTTTTCTAAAAGAACCATACAGTAAATATTTTAGGTACATAAAACATATGGTCTCTGTTGCAACTACTAAATTGCCATTGGAGTACTAAAGAAACCATTAAAAAAACCAAAAACTCAACCTTATTGCCCTTGAGTCAATGCTGACTCATGTCAACTAAATAGGCCAGGGTAAACAGGGTTTCTAAGATTATAACTACACTTTACGGGAATACAAAGCCTAGCCTTTCTCCTGCAAAGAACCATAGACAATACATAAACAAATGGGCATAGATGTATTTCAATCAAGCTTTAAGTACAAGAGTGTTTGGCAGGGGATTCCACTATATTACACCAAACTAAGGGGTCCGTCCCTTCAAGACTTTACAGCAAAAGAGATAAGAATGTTGGCCACAAGCTGCCAGTCTGGTAGACCATGTTAAGTCTTTTGGAGACACAGCTGAAGCAACAGATCAGAGGTGAAGCTACCTCCTGAAAAAGGAGCACTGTTCTCCATGATACATGATAGTGTGCGAGGGGCTTCAAAGTTTGCAGAAAACTTCCATTGTCTTCTAATTCCACAAACTTTTTGAAATACCCTCATACAGCCTGAATTATAGGAAACTGAGTGTGGTGCTGAATGATATCTACTTGTGCAGTGAACTGAGCTCTGGGCTGCTAACTTCAAGATCAGTGGTTCACACCTACCAGTGCTCCACAAACAAAAGGATGAGACTATCTGCTCTTGTAAATCTTCACAGTATCGGACACCCTACAGAATTCTCTGTCCTATTGGGCTGCTGTAAGTCAGAAGGGACTCGATGGGACTGGGTTTGGTTTGGGCATGTTCCCAATAGGTAAAATACCATATATACTTGAGTATAAGCCGATGCACCTAATTTTATCACAAAAACGGCATTAAAATGTGCTGGAAAACTCACTTATACATGAGTATATAAACTACATGCATCAGGAACAAGGGGTAAAAGTAGGAATGGCCCCACTTATCATGACTGTATTTGAGCTTTCTTTTCTTGCAACTCTGGGTTCTGCAGGATTAGAAGTGTTAGTCCCCATAGAGGAAATACTTTCACCTGGGGACATAATTCGACTACAACCTTTGGGACTTGAATTTGCTTAAGGAGCACAGCACAAATTGAGAAGAAATAGTTGCAAATATCCACTAATAATTGGAATATGGAATGCACAAACTATTAATCTAAGAAAACTGGAAGTTGTCAAAACTGAAATGGACAACATAAAGATCAATATCCTAGGCATTAGTGAGCTGAAATGGACTGCTATTAGTCATTTTGAATCATTTAGTCATATGGTCTACTATGTGTATTAATTTTCTCTACTTGC